TTGGGATTAGTAATTTGAAGTGGGCCACTAGCCAACTGCCGTATTTAGTACCTCTGCTTTTCTTTTTTGAAGAAAATTTATCAACTCAGACAGCCATCCCCAGGGGCCTGCTGTTGAAATGTTTCCTGAGTGTTCAAGGCATCTTAAATCCTATTTGCACCCAACCTAGCGCTGTTAGGGAGAGTCAGGGAATTTCTTTCCAAGCCAGCTCCTTCCCAACTCTGGAATCTTCATGAGGAGGGCCTAGCACAGTGCTTTGGGGTGGTTCATAATAACCAATGGCGCCGCCCCCCTTCAGGAGCAGAGGAGGAGTGTTCAAAGGTAACATTATAGATGACAAGGCTCCTTGTCCCTTAGTGGTCCTGCTGCAGCTGTTCCAGGCCTGTGCCCTGGGCCAGCATTACAGCTCCTGCCACGAAGCCAGATCTGTCCTAAAGAAGCATGATGTGGGATGGTGCCCTCTAATAACAGCAGGGGGGTCTCTGCCGGGGCTTGAAAAATGAACACCAGGTCCCTGAACCCAGCTCTGACAAACCCATTCTCTAGCCCAGGGCCTTGTGTCCCCCCCCCACTCCCACACACCCTGCAGGGGCTGTGTGGCCAAGCACTACCCTGGGATGCTCAATAGTATTTGCAAATGAGCTCCAAGGCTGTGTGTGTGTGTGTGTGTGTGTGAGTGTGTGTGTGTGTGTGTGTGTGTGTGTGTAAGCCAGAAGTCAGCCTTGGATGTCTTTCCTAGGGTACTCTCCTCCTCTTCCTGGACTGGACAGCATCGCTAACTGGCCTGGAGGTGGAGAAGGAGGCTCAGCTAGCTGGCCATTGAGCTCCAGGGTTGCACCTATCTGCCTCCCCAGCTAGGATGACAAGTTCTACCACACCCTGGTTTCTGTTTGTTTGTTTTGCTTGCTTTTTGAGACAGGGTCCCATGTAGCCCCAGCTTGCCTCCAGCTCCTTGTATAGCTGAAGTGACCTGAACTTCTGGCCCATCTGCTCTGGACTGGGATTACAGGTATGCACCACTGTGCCCAGTTTATGTGTTGCTGGGGTGGCAAGCAAGCACCCTACCCTCTGAGCTCTGTTTACCCCTACTCCATGATCAGCTCTTTGACATGGGTCCTGCCCATCAAACCCAGGCTCTCATGCACGCACCACAGGCGCTTTACCAGTGAGCCAGTGTTCCAGCCCTAAGGCTTGTTTTTTTTTTTTTTTTTTTTTTTTTTTTTTTTTTTTAATGGTCTACTTTGTTTCTTTGGGGGTTTTTGTCGGTTCTAAATAGACACTCAGCTTGGGTTATGAGAAAAATAACAACTGTCATGAGAGGAAATGCCCTGAGCTCCTTCATGACATTTCCTCCATCTTCCGGGTGCCCACATCCAGTGTCGCCATGGTTTTTTTTTTTTTTTTTTCCTTGCTTTTGCCATTGAGCCCGAGTTCCTTGATAGTGGCAAGAAGCCAGAAGCCGATGTGGAGGAGGCCTGGTTGAGCAGCCTTCTTACAGGGCGTTGTTTACAGCACGGATGGGCATTATTGTATTCAAAACCGACAGGTGCAGTCACATCCCTGGCCAGGGCGGAAGGCTGAAGTCACCGGCAGAAGAAACACCGAGGCCAGTGCTAAATGAGCCTCCAAAGCAACAGGAACTCAGTCCTTGTCCTTTAGAGGGATGGGCGCCCCCCCACCCACCCACTACAATACAAGGTGATCTGGAAGAACTCAATTTACACCCTCAGCTCCCGTGGGCTGGGGGATCAGCAGAGGGCAGGATAATCCCAGCTTCTCCAGCAGATGGTTTCTGACTACCCTGACCCAGTTATCTCCCTGCAGCTGACCAGCAGCGGGGTGAAGCGTGGACCCTCCTCCCACCGGCAAGCACGGGGTGGCTTTTGCCTCTTTGGTGCCAGGTCAACTGGCAGATCGCTTCAAGTTCCTGAAGGCAAAGAGCCATTCTCCTACTGTCCTTCCTTTTCCCCAGCCCGAATGAAGCGGGCAAGAAGGGTTAGGTCAGGACTGTCCTCTGGAGCGGGTGCTGGGGGAGGGGAGGGGGCGGTAAACCTTTCATTGGCTTAATGACCTCTCTCCTTCATTCATCAGTCGTTCCTTCATAAGCCCTCCCTGATCATCTGTCAGGTCTGGCACTGGAAAGGACCCATGAGGCCTAGCCTCTGTGCCGGAGCTAAGTCAGGCAATGAGGCAGCCAGCCAGGCACTGGGCACCTAATCAGATAAATCACTTCCTCGGGGCACAGAGGGCCAGGGAGGGTTTCACCCGGGAGGAGAGACAGCTACATTTTTAAAGAACTGGGTGGTTCTGGTGACATAAAGTGCCGGAGTGCCAGAGCGTGTGTGGGAAGACAGATGGGCCAGGTAGCTCAGGAGCCATCTTCAAGGATGTCAGGAATATCTCCTTCCTGTCCAAGGGCTCACTGGACCCCCGGTAGGGCAGGAGGAGGACACAGGATGGGAACAGCGAAGAATGGGTCTGATGAGGGCAGAAGGGCTGTTATCTTCCGGGGTTCTGCTGGGCCCCTGCTTCACACTCAAGAGTTGGCAAAGTCAGACCCGCCCTAGTTCTGCCCCGCAGACTTCTGGTCGGTTCCTCGTACTGGGAGAGAGGGGGCGCTCTGCTCCCAGACTTTCGTGCTTCTGTGGAACTGCAGTTCTGGCTAAGGTCCACAGCGTAGGGCTGGTTGGGAAGTTCGCTGTGGGTGTTGGTGGGACAACTCCCCTCCCCAAGTCCGAGGTCTCTTTAGGCAGGGTCGTCCCGATTCTGAGGGAAAACAAGGCATAAACTACCTCGCAGTCTTGCTTGTGGCTAGGTGAGCCTATTGTGGGCAAGGGTCCTGGAGAGCAAGGGGTCTCAAGTAACCCCAGCTTGCGGGGGCTGGGGGTGCATTCCGGCCTTTGGGACCTGTGCCCTGTGGGCATTCCGCCAGGTAGGGGCGGAAGGAGGGACAGAAAGAACGGTTACACTTGGGGTTTTCTAGTCAGGGTTGGGAGTCAGAGTCATCCACCTCTGGCAGCCTGGAAAAGGCACCCCAGAACCATTTTTTAAAAATACGCTTCTGCGAGGCTGGCTTAGTCTGGACCCCGTAAAGAGCAAGTGTAATGCAGCTATCACTGTGCCCTCTTACAGACGAGAAAGAGGGTGGACACAAGGTGGACTAGATTCAAATCCGATAGTGCCTAACCCCCTCACTAGAATCTGGGTTTGTCTGAGGCCAAGTATGCCAAGACCGGGATGGGTGAGTGGAGACTCCACCAGTCTGGCAAACCCTGGGACTCCAGAGGCCTTGGGTCCTCAAAGTTGGGACCCCGCACAATGCTGGCAGACCCTCTGGTGGACTATGGCAGCGCTGGCCGAGGCTCCGGCGGCCACCGCCCCTGTGCTCTTCTAACCCAGGGGGCTAAGCCATCGCCCCTTGGGACGCGAGGCGAGGGCGTTGCAGCCTGGGAATGGCATCCGCCTGCATCGCTTCTCTGCTGCATTTGAGCTCGCCCCCCCCCCCAGGCTGGACAGAGAAGGATCGCTTCTTGGAGGGTCTGGGGCGCATGCCGTGACTAAGGGTCGCCTGCCCAGGTTGTGAAGGGCGACAGCTTGGGACAGGGGCAAGGCCTGCATGGCCCCGAATAGGGGGCGTCCAGAAGCACCCAGATCCTACTCTTGGGGGGCATGTCGGTGCCATTTAGCCATCGTCCCATGGGGCGAGGGTCTGGGGCACTCACGTGGTGGGAAAGTTTCGAGGTAGCAAAAGTGGCCTGGCATCGCAGGGCGGTGGGGGGGGAGGGGGTGGATAGAACCTTCTCGCCCCTCCTCGCCAAGACAGAAAGAGAAAGAGCGGAGGGAAGAGGGAGTGGGGGGGGAGGACCAGGCAGCACTGACCTGCAGAATCCGCCTCCCCCTCCGCCCCCGGGAAGCCGGAGCAGGGAGGCGCGGACCGTCTCCTCCCGCACGCCCCGGACGACACTCCCCCCCCTCTTCTTCTTCTTTTTTTTTTTTTTCCTGCCAACGTCTATCTCAACGCGCGCGCACATACGGAGATTGTGCGGCTTTTTTACCCCTCGGGGGGGAAAAAAGAACAGGGAGTGGAAAGGAAGAGAAGGCAAAGCGAAGAACTCCTCCTCGGGCGCGCTCTGCACTCTGAGCCACGGCTGGCCGCGGGGACGCTGCTGCCACCGCCACCGCCACCGCCGCCTCGCTTTCTCCCCGGCCTTGAGGCGTGTGCCAGTGGGAGCGCGAACCAGGGCGCCCGATCCCGGGGACACAGAGACACTTTTGGCCGTCACTGCCGCGGCAGGCAGAAGAGACAGCGGCGAGAAGGGCCCTGCCACTGCCTTCCCCCCCTCCGCTGCCCCGGCCGGCCCGCGCAGGCAAGCAGGCGCAGGGAAGCCAGGAGGAGCAGAGGCCCGGGAGAAGCGCGCCGCGGCCCGCCCGCCCGTGGATGCAGCGCCCGGGGGAGCCTGGAGACAACTTTGCCGGGTGACGCGCCGGGAGGACCGCAGGGCCCGCGGCCCAGGAGGGCTCGGCGCCGCCTGGAAGAGGGGCCCGCGCGGCGGCGCTCCCCCGCACCGCGCTCGCTCCTCCCGCCGGCCCGGAGGAGCAGGGGGGACGACCTGCCCATCATCGCCGCCGCCTCGGGCGGCCCTGTCCTCGCTCGGAGCAGCGGCAGGGCGAGGCGCTCAGGTGCGATCGCGGGGCCCCAGCCGCAGCGCCCTCCGCAGCGCCGCGCCCCGGGGGCTCTGGCACCTCCGCCCGGGTCTCCAGAGCGAGTTGCGTCCACCGCCTCTCCTCTCCACCTTGCCAGCCCCGGCGGCGATCGCCGCCACCGCGCCAGCGCCACTGCCGCCGCTCATCGCTTTCGCTTCACCCGGTTGGGGGGCTGCGGTGGCCCTCGACGCGGAGAGGATGGGCAGGCTGCAGATGCCTAGGCGTCCCGAGGCGCCCGCGCGCCAGTGACCCGGCGGTGTCCCCCCCCCTCAGCCACCCCTCCCCAAAAAAAGAAAGCCCGCGCGCCCCTCTGGTCCCCGCGGCGCCCCTTCTCGGCCGCGCGGGAACCCCCGCGGCCCGGCCGGCCCCCTCCCCCTGCGAGCCGGCGGCGGCGCTCCCGGCAGGCGGGCGGGCGGAGGCCCGGGCGGGGGCGGGGCGGGGCGGTGCGCCCGGAGCCCGGAGCCCGGCCCTGAGCTCGCTTCGCCTCGCCTCGCGGCGGGCGCCCTCGTCGCCAGCGGCGCACCATGGACGGGCTGCCCGGTCGGGCGTTGGGGGCCGCCTGCCTTCTGCTCTTGGCGGCCAGCTGGTTGGGACCCGAGGCTTGGGGCTCCCCCACACCCCCGCCGTCGCCCGCTGCGCCGCCCCCGCCCCCGCCACCCGGAGCTCCGGGCGGCTCGCAGGACACCTGTACGTCGTGCGGCGGCGGCGGCGGTGGCGGCGGTGGCGGCGGTGGCTTCCGGCGGCCGGAGGAGCTGGGCCGGGTGGACGGCGACTTCCTGGAGGCGGTGAAGAGACACATCTTGAGCCGCCTGCAGTTGCGGGGCCGGCCCAACATCACGCACGCCGTGCCCAAGGCCGCCATGGTCACCGCCTTGCGCAAGCTGCACGCGGGCAAGGTGCGCGAGGACGGCCGCGTGGAGATCCCGCACCTCGACGGCCACGCCAGCCCGGGCGCCGACGGCCAGGAGCGCGTCTCTGAGATCATCAGCTTTGCCGAGACAGGTGGGTTTGGCCCCGGGGAAGCCTGCACCGGCCGCGATCCTTGCCCATCTTCCCTTTCATAGGAGGCTCCTGCCGCCTTCTCCGCCTCTGCAGCCCGCACGCGCACGCCCCGAGGGCACTTAGGCTCCGGGCTGGGCCATTCTGCGGTGGCCTGGCGCTTGTCTCGGGGTGGCGGACCTCTGCTACCCTCCGCAACCAAACCACAGACCCTTGGCTGCTGCTTTTTCCCTGAAGCGACTGGAAAGCACCCTGCCCTTCATCCCTGCTTACGGGAATTGGGCCCCAGCGCCTCTGGGCGCGCGTCCCCCTCCCGGCAGATGCGCGCAGCCCTGGCTCTGCGGGCGCTTGCTTGGTGATTGCTTAATGTTTTTGTTTCCCACGATCCGAGTGTAGGCTTAGCAGAGTAGATGGAGATGTGTGTGCTTGTTGATATACGTGGGCCGGAGAGGAGAGGAAGAGAGAGAGGGAGGAAGGGGGGAGGGAGGGAGAGAGAGAGAGAGAGAGAGAGAGAGAGAGAGAGAGAGAGAGAGAGAGCCTGGCTGCATGAGAGGCCCTTGGGGCCGCTTCCATAGCTTCCATAGCCTGGGCGGCATGGGCTTGCCAGGATTGCTGAAGCATCGGTGGGGAGAGCTAGGCAACCTCCCTTCCGATTGTGTGGGCACCAGAGTAGGGCGGAAGGCAGCTTCTCAACAGGTCCATCATTTACGCAAAGACGCAGCTGAGGAACAGCCCCATGCCTTTAGGCTTGCCTGGCAGCCGTGGCCTGGGAGAGAGCGGCAGAGTTTGTAGTTAGCAGCAAAGAGAGGGATTCCTTTCTGCAGTGCCTTCCTTGGCCCCGCGTTGCAAATCTCTGTCCACTATCTAAATATAAAAATCACAGAAAGAGAGGGGGAGAGAGAGAGAGAAAAAAAAAAGATCTTCAGGAAATTTAAAAAGAAGGGGAATTTCCTGGGCAGAAACGGTGTAAGTGTCTTAGACATCGCTGTCCTTTTCAGGACTTGAATGAGCCAGGCTGGCTTTTGTGCGGAAAGCTCAACCCCATTTGTGCTGAGGGGACTCCAGAGAAGATCTCAGAGGGGGAAGCCCGATGGAGTCAGGGTGGGGGACAAGCAGGGAGCCTGGGAAGAGGGGAGGGGAATCAGCCATGCCCCTGGCTGCAAATGCCCCCCTACTCTCCCAGGCATCAGGCAGACTGCCTGTGCCGCTGCCACTGCCGGGGGATAAAAAGGGATGAAAAGTTTTGCATGGCCGAGTGTGGAGAAAGGCGGAGACAATCAAGGCTGGTTTGTGCTTAGAAAGAAATACATTGCCGTTTTAGCTGTCCGCCAGAGTCAGGGAAAGCTCGACATGCAATTAGAGGGCTTGGATTAAAAGGTGCTTTGGGGCCCAGAGTAGAAATGTGATTCGGTAAGGTCGAGAGGCCTTTTGGTCCCGGTGGCACAAAATGACAGCAGGGGCTGTTATATTTCTGGTCCGATTCATGGAGCCAGCTCTTTGACTTATAAATAACAGATTCAGGTCACAGGCAGCTCGGCCAAGACCAGCTTTTAAGGCTGCAGTTCCTCTATTTCAAAGTCAGACGTCAGTGTTATTAGAGGGACCAGTGAGAGCTGAGGAAGGGGCTGGGCGGGGGCTTAGTGGGCGGTTGGATAGAACCAGCCACGTCTGTAGAGACTGTCAGGAAGGGCTGCGAGGAATGGACTGTGATAGGGACATCTCTTGTCTCCTGTCTGATATAGCCATTCTTCTGGCTGGACTGCATTATTGAGATGACTGGCAGCCTCCCCCTCCCCCAAATCTGAAACTGCCGCGTTCTTCCAGCCAGGGTCTGGTCAAAGGATTGGACCTGGCATTTTCAAGGCTGTCTGTCCTGTCCCTTGGAACTCCTTGGAAACAAGGGCTGCACTTTGTGGCTTACAGGATATAGACTCTGTGTCAGAAACCCGAGCAGAGCGTGCTTGTTTGCAGTGGAGGTCCCACTGGGGGCTGGACCAGATCAGGCTTAGGTAAACACTACAAAGAGGCTGTAGGTGGCTCAGCTTGATTTTGCAATGTCCTAAGTTAACAAGAAAGAAGACAGGGGGAAAAAGTCCCATTTAAAACAACCTACCCCCAAATCCTTTCTGCAATCTTGGTTTTATTTTCAGAGACCCATAACAACTTGTTAAGATCTTGGGCTTGAGCTGGGCAGTGGTGGTGCACGCCTTTAATCCCAGCCCTTAGGAGGCAGAGGCAGGTGAATCGAGACCAGCCTGGTCTATCTACAAGAGCTAGTCACAGGACAGGCTCCAAAGCTACACAGGGAAACCCTGTCTCGAAGAACCAGGAGAGAGAGAGAAAAAAAAAAAAAAGGTCTTGGGCTTCTCACAAGTTGTTCTGTTGGCCTTTGAAGCCCGACAGCCCTGTCTCCAGGGAGTCCTGGCCTGGGAGAGGTGAGGCAGGATTTTTATAGGTCTGGACCCTCCTGCTCCATCAATGGGAAGTGATTCTTCTGCCTCTGGCAGGGTATTTCTGGTCAGTAACACTTTCCAGCTGTGGTGAGTGTTCATTCCAACATCACAGAGCAGAGTCCGTTCCCCATTGCCTTGTGTTCTCGTGGAATTAACTTGGCCTGTTCTTCCCGCCTCCACAGATGGCCTTGCCTCCTCCCGGGTCCGCCTGTACTTCTTCGTCTCTAACGAAGGCAACCAGAACCTATTTGTGGTGCAGGCCAGCCTGTGGCTGTACCTGAAACTCCTCCCCTACGTCCTGGAGAAGGGCAGCCGGAGGAAGGTACGGGTCAAGGTGTACTACCAGGAGCAGGGTCATGGTGACAGGTGGAGCGTGGTGGAGAAGAAGGTGGACCTCAAGCGTAGTGGCTGGCACACCTTCCCGATCACAGAGGCCATCCAGGCCTTGTTCGAGCGGGGTGAGAGACGCCTTAACCTGGACGTGCAGTGTGATAGCTGCCAGGAGCTGGCCGTGGTGCCTGTGTTTGTGGACCCTGGTGAGGAGTCTCACAGGCCCTTTGTAGTGGTGCAGGCCCGCCTAGGTGACAGCAGACATCGCATCCGCAAACGGGGCCTAGAGTGTGACGGGCGGACCAGCCTGTGTTGCAGGCAACAGTTCTTCATCGACTTTCGGCTCATCGGCTGGAACGACTGGATCATTGCACCCACTGGCTACTACGGGAACTACTGTGAGGGCAGCTGCCCGGCCTATCTGGCTGGGGTCCCTGGCTCAGCCTCCTCCTTCCACACGGCTGTGGTGAACCAATACCGCATGCGTGGCCTGAACCCAGGGCCCGTGAACTCTTGCTGCATCCCTACCAAGCTGAGCTCTATGTCCATGCTCTACTTTGATGACGAGTACAACATCGTCAAGCGGGACGTGCCCAACATGATCGTGGAGGAGTGTGGCTGCGCCTGACGGTGGCAGTGGGTGCAGAGCACAGGCCCCTCGGGGCTGTGAGGGAGCAGGAGAGCCGAGTGTGGTTGCTTCATTGGGCTGTGGAGAGCGCCAGGGTGCGGCTTGAAACAATCTTCCGCTTCATAGAAAACCAGTCAGAACCAGAGGGAGGACCCTCCTGTGCCACGAGAGACCCCCTAGCCGCGCACATAGACACGCATAGCCAGACTCATCCTGCCACCCACACAGCAGCCTCCAGGATACCAGCAAACGGATGCAGTGACAAATGGCAGCTTAGCTACCAATGCCTGTCAGTCGGAGAGAATGGGGTGAGGAGCTCCATTCCCACCAGCTGGCCGGGCACTCTGAATCGCGCCTTCTGAGCACACATAAAAGCACAAAGACACAGAGAGAGTGAGCCAGAGAGCCACCAAGAGGAAAAGCAGGCTGGGGAGCACAGGCGGGTGGAGGGCCATGTGCCCCTGGCTTGTCCCAGGCTCTTCACCGAAGCCCTGGCTCAGCCCTGCCTGCTCACTCCCCGCCTGGCACCCTTCATGCTTTGAGCCCAGCAGAGTTGTGTCACCCTGTTCTTGGAGAGGGCAAATAGCCCAGGAGGGACTCGCCTGTCATAGAGACCATGGAGCAGGGACAGTGACCCTTTGACTGACTGTCGCTTGGATCCCTGGTGTGACTTGTGTGTGTGTGTGTGTGTGTGTGTGTGTGTGTGTGTGTGTGTGTGTTTTCAGGGGTGGGGTGGGGTCAAGGAGAGAAGAAGGGTCTTCATTTTATGCTTTAAACTCGTCTCCAACAACTGACAGGTCATTGGTACCAGTTGCAGAATTGAAAAGCTATGACCTTTGAAGTGGATTCTAAATGAGAAGGGGAAAATGTTGCAATCAGTGCCCTTTGCTGGGGACACCCTCCTAGTGCTGTCTGTGGAGGGAGGCAGGGGTAGAGGGTATGGGGAGTTGCTGAACTGGTCTTGCTTTGCAGAAGCTGTCCCTGTGGGTGGGCCCTGGCTCCGTGGGTTGTCCGTGGACATTGCTCCTGCCCACTTCACTGGCCCACCCGCCTGTCCCTCAAAGCACTTGCGGTCCTGCTTGAACGCACATGACAAGAGCACCTGCAGGCCTGCGCGTGTCCGTAAGTGGCCCTGGGGCAAGAGCTGCCGTGGCTGTCCCTGTGGATGTCCAAGTGCCACGTGAACTATGCAATTTAAAGGGTTGACCCACACTAGGCGAAACTGGACTCGTCCGTCTCTTTTATATTTTTATACTTGAAATGAAATCCTTTGCTTCTTTTCTAAGCGAATGATTGCTTTCAATGTTTGCACTGATTTAGTTGCATGGTTAGTCAGAAACTGCCATTTGAAAAAAAAGTTATTTTTATAGCAGCAGAAAAATGAATACAGTTAAATGTATTATACATAATTTTGGAACCAAAGAGGCCACCGGATCAGTTTTAATTTTTATTAGATGGTAAGGCCGTCTTCTATGAGGTAGATGTTCTAAACAGCCCCTTGAGTGGCCTGCCAGCATTTCAGGGTATAAATGAATTTTTTTTTTATTCATTTGATGTGTCTCTTCAGTTCTTACACACCCAGAAGGTAAAGAAAATGATGGTAGGATGCAGGTGTGTATCTGTAAGTCCTCATCTTTAGTTTATTTAATAAAACCCTCCTTAGGTTCTGTTTCATAATAATAACTTAAAAACCAAACAACTTCCCCCCACACACACAGACTGGCTGTCTAAGTATTTTACATTCATGTACAGTTTAAGAAAAATAAAAGATGGAGTGCCATGGGCTTCCTGCCTTGTGTGATGTCTGGGCGGTGGGTAGCCGGGAGGGAGGGGTTGGTCCAGGTGTCCAGTTCTGATGCCCGCAATCCCTACAGCTGCTCTCTACACTCCCAGAGCCCTTGCCTGACACCTATGTCACCCAGAAGCTAGAAGAGATGGTGGCACACCAACGGAAAGGCAATTAGCAAATTAACGAATTACACGTTTGTTTACCGTTCAAGCCCCCACCTGGTTACTTTCCATCAAAGCTGGGTCTCGATGCTTTTCAAAAGTACTGTGGTACTTGATGCCAACCTTAATGGCCTGAGTTTGAGCCCAGGTTTCCACATAGTGGAAAGAGAGATCTAGGTACACACACACACACACACACACACACACACACACACACACACACACGGGGAATAAATTTAAAAAGTGCCAGTTAAGGCTCCAGGCCACAAAGGGAGTGTGCAACCTGGAAGGTGAGTTCCTTCTCCAAAATCCCTGGCCTCTGTGCTCACCCCCATGTCTGATGTAGGTGACTGAGGGAATGGGGCTCAGAATCTGGCATTAGAGGGTAAGCAGACAGGGCTGTGAGTACACCAGATAGCCTTTCCCCTGGCAGTTGGAACTAATGCGTATAAGGAGGTGTTAGCCTTAGTAGTTACAACAGCTCAGCCACTACGGGGTATGACAGACACCTGTTCAGTCCTGGTATCTAGACCCTGTATTACACATCTTTGCTTCCCAAAGAGTAGGAGCTGGACAGAGAGCCCAGATCCACTCTACCGAGACAGGCCCTGGCCATAGGTGACCCACTTGCTGGTTTGTGGGGATTGGAGACTTACACATTGCCTTTATCTGAGCCCTGCAGGCCCTATGGGCCTTTGTTTGTTTGTTTGTTTTTGCTGTTGTTTGCAAACTCACTGATTTGGCTAGATTAGCTGGCCAGGAAGTCCCAGGGATCCTTCCTGTCTGTAGTTCCCCAGTCCTGGGTTATTCTGGGGACCTGAACTCAAGCTCTCACTCACGCTTGTGTGGCAAGCACATTGCCGACTGAGTCATCCTCCTAGCTGTGCTCCGAGGTGATTTCTGCAGGTAGAGGAAAAAAAATGACCAAAGGGAGAGGGACATGTGATGGGCCTGAAGCTACAGGGCCAACAGACACTGAGCAGCTCCGTCCCTGGCCCTGGTCTGCGTCCCTGTGGGCCCAGTCCCCCCTCCCACCACTGAACCATGGCTGGGAGGATACAGTGAGGCCAGGTACCTCACTGTCCGGGCTGGCATTTATTTATTTCTCTGATGTACCTCGGGTTTGCCCCAAACTTACTATGTAGTGCTGGAATCCAGGGTGACCTGGAATCCCCCATTCTTCTGCGTCCACCTCCCCAGTGCTAGGATTCCGGGCATATGGTTTATGGGGTTCCGGGAATTGAACCAGAGCTCTGTGCGTGTCAGGTGAGCACTCCGAGCAGCAGCTACAGCTTCTGCCCCATTCCTTTCATTTCTCGGTCTCCATCTACATCCTGATTCTCTCCCAGGAGGTCCTGGCCCAAGCCATCCAGGTTTCCAGCAGATGGCCTTGAAGCATCACCCTGCAGGCCCCGAACCAATGCCTCTGGTTGGAGCCCCAGGCCTGTAAGAGGCCCTGCCCTTCCCTGCAGTCAGTCTCATGGCTTCTAGGCCCTTACCTCTCCTGTTCCTCCCAGCCCTTTCTGGGACCAATGGGATGGACAGGGGCAGGAGGCTACTAGCCCCATCCCCCCAAGTGTTCCCTTCTATCTTCTACAATGCCCAATGTCCACCATGTGGGGTTAGTTCATTCTCAGCTGACCTTCAAATACGCCCTGCATCTTCAATGACTCTAGGGAGCTCAAGGCCATGAGTTGGAGGACTGTGGGGGAGGGGAAGACAGGCCCAACCCTACCTCCCCTCTCCCACACACCCCGGGCAGGCAGGGGAAGGTCAATGCTAAAGGCCCCCAGGTTGTCCTTGGTTTGTGCTTTCTTCAAGGCTCTCTGGGTTGGCTCAGAATGGGACAGCAAGGGTCCCTGCAGCTCAGCTCATAGCCAGCTGTGCCCCTGCGACAGTGTGACACCATCACGAGAATTCCTACCACACCTCCAGGTGAAGTCCTCGAGGAGGGGCTTGGGCAGCTTCGGTCTGTAGCAAGGCTCCTGGAGCTCAGGAGAGTCCAGGTCACAAATATCGGGCTCTGCACTGGTCCCTGGCAGGAACGCTGTTGGAGGTGTCCACAGACACGTGTGGGCCTTGGAGAACCCTGATAGTTGGGGGGTGCTTGAGGACTGGAAAGTGGATGGGGGAGGGGAGGAGAGAGTGACGGGGGGGGGGGTGGGGGTGGCTAGGAGATCACAGGCCACAATCAAGGGTGCCAAAGACAGCAGTATGCCTTTGCTATTGTTTGTTTGCTTTTCTGAGTGGCTTCATTTAACCTATTCTGATCTCAAACTTCCTATACAGCTGAGGATGGTGGTCTTGAACTTACTGTCCTGTGTCTACTATCTGACTGTTGGGATTACTGGCATGTGCCACCAGGCTTGGGGATCAAACTTAGGATGTCATTTGTGCTAAGCCCAATACTCACCACTGACTGAGGCAGCCACACCCCAACCCTGCCGTTTCCATCATCTTTTTCCATCGTCTTTCTCATATGGGTGATGCTTCTGGCCTTGTACTTTGTGACTTGCCATTGGCAGTTGGGACCTCTAGTCACTTCAGCAGCTAGGCAGGTGGGCTGGGTGGACACAGGCACCACCTGTGGCCTATGTGTGGCCTTAATGCGGCATCTTAGCCCCTGCTGGCTTTTTCCTGGCCAATTAGTGCCAAGGCATAATCGTGATGTCTCGGTAGCCAAAAGACAGAACACTTTCAAGTGCAGCTTTTATCTGGTTATTTATTCACTTAACAAACGTTTACTGAGGGCCAGCTTTATGTGACATCCATACATTATGTCAATTTAGTTCTCACAGCCTGGGTGTGGAAGGCAGTGATTGTCATTGACCCTATTATATAGGTGGCAACGCCGAGGCCAGAGCAAGTAAGTTCCTGACTCAAGGTTGCTTAGCTCAAATAGAAGAGCGGGAACTTGCTATGATTCCCAGTGTCTCTTACAAGAGGGCCTGCCAGGGAGGCACTGGGGTGCAATGTCTTTGGTGTTCATATGAAGGAGTCCACTATGCCTGGATCCCGGCCTAGGCAGGAGCTCAACTGCACACTGAGCAGTATCTGCCCACAGCAGTGGGCGCAGCCATAGATGGGTGGAGTAGCCCTGTTCCTTCTGGGGCTAGCTGGGAGACAGGAGGCTGCTGGACCGGGGTGGGATGAGACAGGGTATGCAAGCTTTGGACAGGGCGAAGCTGGCAGGGTGGGGCATTGCTGGCCTAGCCTCTGGCCCTGTGGTGATGGAGGAGGCAGCCAGGGCCACTCCAGCAGTAGCCACTCTAGCTGGTTGGCCAGTTGACTCCAGAATGCTCTACCCTTTAGAGCCCTCATTAATAAAACAAGGTGACAAGAGTGCCTACTTGAGGGGCTGCCAGGGCAGGGTTCTGTGCAGGCTGGCACCATGGTGCTGGTGGTTGTTTAGCTCGAGTGTCACGTGGGATTCCAAGGACAGCTTTCAGTGGGGATCGACCTGGGTTGGCAGCAAGCCCCTTCACCCACTGAGCCACTCTCTGACCCCCCCCCCATTTTTGTTTTGTTCTAAGATAGGGTTTCATGTAGCCTGGCCTCAAACTCTCTGGGTAGTGGAGGATGACCTTGGACTCCCTTGTCCTGACTTGCCTCCACCTCCCGAATGCTGGAATTCCTGGGGTGTGCCATGACGTGAGTTTATGTGCTGCTTGGAATGGACCGCCTTGCACAATAGGCCCCTCTTCCAGCACCCCCCAGTCCAGTCTGTGTCTCCAAGGTTCCCGCAGTGTGTCGGGAAGGGTGCCCCGCCCTCCCTCGAGG